TGGAAGGATTGATACTGAAGCTCAAGCTCAGATACTTTGTCTACCTAATGCGAAGAAAGGACTCTTTGGAAAAGACCCTGATCCTGGGAAAGATTGAAGGCAAAAGGAGAAGGGGACGGCAGAGGATGAGATGGTTAGATAGCATCACTGAAGCAATGACCATGAAACTGAGCAAACTCCAGGAGGCAGTGAAGGACAGGAAGGCCTGGCGCGATATGGTTCATGGGGTCACGAAGAGTCGGACACGAGTTAACGACTAAACAACAACAACAACAACAACAACAACAAATATTTGGAACAACCAAAACATTCCAGGATTCTGTTCAACTACACTACAACCCTGCCTGAAACAGTCCAGCTGAACTTTCAAGCCAAAATGTGTTTGTCCCATGCTCAGAACAAAACACATTTTTCTATTTGTAACCACATCCCTACTAGAGACTCATTACACACATCTTATCTGTCACGTTCTTAAACATCATACTGCATGTATATGGGATGGTCATTTGTAAAAGAAAATCATACATAGTAAATAAGATGTAGTAAACTAGATACTGGTCCATCAATCAAGAGATCAGCCAGTAGGTAAGCATACAGAGAACTCACACTGTATAACATGGTATAGCACATGGGCCTTCTAAAGAATGACCAAAATGTCTTCCCTCTCTTTTCTGAATGACTGCATTTCACAGAAATTACCTTGCCAAGAATTTAATTTGCAATGCTCTGATCTGAATTCACCTCAGAAAAATCTGGCAATCTATGGAAAGGTATTTTAAAATGACATTGCTGTTCTACCTACCCTATGCAGAATGAAAGGGGTTTTTTTAAGTCACAAATGCAAGATACCATTTTATGTGAGCAATTGTGAAACAAGAAGCCATGCTACTTATATATGCAATGGCATACATAAATCTTTTTAAAAAAACAGAGCAAAACAAAAGTCTTAATAGAGGTTCACTGTTCTGAAGGTAGAACTAGTAGAAATGCATGTTGAGGGGAGTAAAGGCTTACCATGGGACTTCAAAGCCAGTAGCTTGCTTCTTTCCCGACACAGTCATTTTGGTAACTTTTGGCACAATGTCAGCATCTATTCTGGTGGCTTGAGAATCCTTCACTTTTCCTAGCAGAATGAGAAAAAAATGAAACCATAACAATAGAGCAAGCTGACTAGATATAGTCTGCATAATAGGTTGACAACAGATAATACAAAATATTTTCTTAAAATTTTAGAATAGAAAAAAAAACTGAAAACCTAAAGCTAATATATAACATTCAAAGCACACGCTTTCTCATATGAGATCTGACAGATCTGCAGAATCCCAGGGCTTGTATGAAATTTAGTACGCAATGATGAGATCAATTATCATGCTAACCAACCTCTACTATGCCCTAAACTATTCCCCTTCTCTCTTTATTCTGCAACCCTTTCTACCAATACCTTATACAGAACCTGCTTTGGAAGATCTGATCCATCAACAGGAATTAATTGGATATCAAACAATGTTGTCATTTTTTAAAAAATATCCTAAAACATCCAGAGTTTTCCCAAGAAAATCCCCAGAATTGGAACAGGTATGGTTTTTCATTTTTAACTTACATTTTACTGCATTAAATAAGTTCTATATTAAAATTTGAAATGATATCTTTAAAAAAGATTCCTCCCATCCCCAACTCCCAATTATTTTTCAGATAATTGCAGTGTCTGGTTCTCCCTTTGACTCAATATTGTCCAAAATAAATAATATATATTTCTATAGTTATCTAAAGGCCTTGTCCAGATAGCCTAGTTCATATATATCCCTTTAAATCATTCTAATATTGGCTTTGGGGGGTGGGGCTATTAGTGTGCTGTGCAAAGCCTCAGAAAGAAATTATGGTTCATCTGTGACAACAAACCATAATTTAGAACACGTTCTCACTTAAAAAATCTGGGCATATTTTAATCACGAGTTATTTTGTCTGAACCCAGAATCCTGTTTATTTCTGGTCTTTGTGCAATCTGCATTTCTTCTGCATCATGGTAGAAGTTAGAAAAAGCAAAAATTACCTAAACAAGCTACAATTACTTTGCTCATCTCTAGACTAACTTGGGCTTTTTGACAAGTTATGTATAAAACAAATCCTAGTTTAGTGTTATGTGCAAACATAGCATACACACACACAAACACAAACCCCCCCCACACAAAAGAAATAAGACACCACTTTTCAGACATCATTTTTGCATATTGCAAGCCTTTGGCTCTGCTCATTTCCTCTGTAATAACCCAAATCTTATGTGCCCATTATGTGATCATGTTGACATTTATTCTGTTTTTGGTTATAATTTTTGAAATGCAAACACCATGATAGATTTTATTATTATAAGGGGAACAGTCAACCAGCTTTTTCAAGTTGATTTCTATTATGGAAATAGGCAAAATGTCCTAGTGAGAATATACTGAAGTTTTAGTAGTTACCTCAGCATGTGAATGGAGTTCCCTACAACTTTCAGGTTATTTCAACCTATATATTTATCCAGTTTAAAAAACAAATCTCAAAACTCTGAAGCTTTGGCAATAATGTTTAAAACAAATGTTTATTTGACAAATTTGTGAAATTTATTCAAGGCACAGAATGTGGATCTCCTTGAATAATTCAATTTGTCTATGCCATTACAATCCTGAGAATTCTTTAAAATCTTCCGTTCCATCCACATTTTTTGACTCTCCTATTTAACTTGAGCTGTAGGTTATATCATATTTCAAAACTACAGAAGGTTTAGCATTAAACAAGATGCACCAAGAGGGATTCTTCCCACCTATTTATCTATACTGCCTTCTAGATTTTGTTGCTAACAGTAAACTGGGCTCATAATCAATGTGACTAGAAAGAAACTCAGTCAGCATTATATTAACCACTCAAAAATGTTCAGCTCTTTGCAAATTATTTCTGAATAACTTTCCAAGCAAGAACAATGAGTTATTTAGAAAAAGGTTATTTCCTAAACAGAAATCATAGAAGGGGGTTTCCAAGTAAAAGCCCTATTCGCTTTCAATTACTGTTTCTTTACAAAGCTCATATACTGTTCTATATTGTTTGAACCTGTTCAGTGCCCTAAACATTTACGATTCTATAGTAGCTATCCAGGCAGTCACCTGGCAGCAGTTAATAGCCAAAATGGCTAAGAGCCATCTGGGTCTGACAGCAGGCAAGAGGACATCTTAACATTTTATATGAGCTTCAAATAGTGAGAATTTAGAGTGTTTTAAAAGATTTTAAAATAGAATTGATCTTTCAGTCTAGCACAAATAACAAGAAAACCATCTTAAGAGGAAATATCATCCTGTAGAGCACACCCAAGAAAAATATAAATTCTTCTAGAAATAATTACTTTAAATGTTTGTTTTGTCAATAAATGTGCTAAATGGAAATAGAACAGTCCTTAAGAGATATGAAAAATGAACTCACTACAAAACATAGTTAAAAGAGATAACACTGTCCTGTTTACAGGAGAAAAAAAAAGGGGGGAACAGTAACAACCTAAGATGAGATATTCATAGAATAATAGAGGTGGGTGGAATGTTAGAGGTCTTCTAGTCTAATCAAGTATAAGATCTATTAAAGTATTTTGGACAGATAACTACCAACTTCCATTTGAAGACCTCCAATGAAGTGAAACATACCACTGCTTGAGGCAAATTATTCCACTAGTTAACAGCTCTTACCATCAGGAAATTCATCATAATATCTGAATCTACTTGTAGTTTCAACCTATTGAATTTCATCATGTGCACCGGGGCAACAGAGAACAAGTACCACTCTCCCCCATATGACAACCCTTAGATATCTAAAGATTGCTATCATATCTTCCCCAGTCTTCTCTTCTACAAGCTAAACAAGTTCCCTTAATCAACAGTTTCCAGTCCTTTCACCACCTTAATAGCCTCCCCTGAACTAATGTCAGTTTGTCAGTGTGGTGCCCAGAACTGGACACAGTTTAATTCCAAGTGGGACAATTATTCCCTGTGATCTGAACACTATGCTCCTTTTAATATATCCCAAAGTATCACTGCCTTTTTAACAACTGCAACATAAACCTGGTTCATATTTAACTTGTGTTCAACAAGGGCATCCAAATCCTTTTCACATGTACTACTGCCAAATTAGGTTTCTCCTGTCCAATACCTTTTTCCTACCCAGATGTAGAAGCTTACATTTCTCCCTTTAAATTTTATTCTGTTTAGGACTATTTTTATCCTGTTTAGATCTGTTTAGGTATTTCTGAATCTTTTCTCTTCTAAAATGTCAGCCACTTATCCTACTTGTGTGTCAGTCTGCCAATTTGAGAACATCCCCTCAATCTTTTCATTCAGATCATTAATAAAATATTGAAGAGCACAGGGTCCTGCATGAATCCCGTGGCACTCCACCAATACTACTCTCCAATACTACTAGTGACTCTGTCAATAAAGGAGATAAGGTTAGTGTGGCATGACTAGTTTATGGCCAACCATGCTGGCTTTTATTAGTTGGCGCATTCTTTGTAAGTACTCACAAATAATTCAGTTTAATAATCCGCTCAAGAAATTTGCCCAGCACAGATGATAAACAGTTCTGTAATTTCCTGGGTCCTCCTACTTTTTTTTGAAGAAAGAAGCATGCTCTCCTCCAGTCTTGTGGTACCTCTCACCAGTTCTGTTGTTGCCTATAGCTAAAATCAAGGGTTTTCTGACCTGTTAGATTTTTCTTCTTCTTAAATGTACACTTTATTAATCAGGTTAACAAATAATAAATCAAAAATCAAATAAAAATGGAACAAGAAAGTGAACAGCTAAATAATCTCAAACTATCGACCCTTCATTAATATGAAGATTCAGGGAAAACATTTCAGAAATTTTCAAAGTATCTTAAGAGGAATAAGATCAAAGATTTACACAATGTAAAATGGGTTTGGTTCAAGTTCACTTTAAGTATTTTTAAAAGCAACCTTTTGGGGAGAATTACTTGTGCATTAAACATATTTGTTCTGTACACTTCCACAGCGTATGGGTCTCACCTTCTGAAATAAACTCAAGTGTCTGTGATGTTTACTTATGCACCAAATCTTGCTAAATGACTCCAATGTTTGTTTCTTTAGCAATTACACAAAATATTCTGGGATGACATACAGAGGTTCCTGACCATAAATATACATTATAATAAATACTAAATACTGGGTAGACCTAACATTTCTCCAGCACCTGATTAACCTAAACTGAGAGTTTATATAGTCCACGTTAAATGTTCAATAATAGAATTTCTGTTGAGCATCTGGTTCATTATGAGTATGTAAAACTGAAAGTATAAGATATAACGAACAGATACTTTTACTACAATTTATTCATGTTTCCAGAAATGACATATTATCTGGCACTAAAACTAACATTATGATACCAGAGGATGGTGCTATTGTTCTAAGTTTCATTTTCTTAAAAGTAAATTGTCAAGTTCTAAGATAATAAACATATATTATTTCATCTCAGATTGTAAACTAGATTTTAGGTCTTTGATAGTAAGCTTTAATAAATAAATGCTACTTATATTATGCTATTATATGTGACTTCTTTACACATACAAATGAGTAGTTAGTTAAATAGTTTAGACAAACCTGTTCAAAATAAAATTTGCTCAGAATGCACACACCTTTGAAGGGTACAAATAAAAACAGATGATCAGTTGCACCAACTGAAACATAAAATAACAAAGTAACTATTTAATACAACACCATCCACAAGGGGTATGCATTAGTTTTTATCCTGCCTTCATTATTTTTATAAATAACTCAAGGTGGCAAATTTACCTAATACTCCTTCTTCCTCCTATTTTCCACACAACAACCACTCTGTGAGGTGAGTTGGGCTATAACACTTCTATTCTGACAAGTATATTATGGATATGAAACTTGATAATCCTTTATATTGTACCAGAACTCTGTAACAAACTTTTCTCAAGATTAATAAATACATGCATACACATATACACATCACAGAAGTACCTTTTAGAACAGGCAACATTATGCAATATGTACAGAAAAACAGTAAGTTGTAGTAAGCAACAAATAAAATGTGGAACATAAAAGAAAAGGAAATCTAACTAAATGTA